AAAATGCGTTTCCTCTCTTATGTTGAAGGTTAAATAGTTTTTCAGTTATTTGAAATAGTTCTTCTTTAAGCGATGCCTCTAAACTGTTCTTACACCAGCCAGGGGTTGAGTTATTTGTGTTGTTGTAATTTGAATTTTCTTTCTCTCCACCATACGATTTTGTTCAAACTCATTAACCTAACCAGAGTTCATCTGTACTCTCCCTAGATTGAGAAGTCGACTGAGTAAGACGACAGTTAGAGAGAAAGAGAGAGGATTTGCACACGAAGGAAATTCTGAAGAGGTACAAAGATGATACACTTCTTTTGTAGCGTATAGCAAAAAATGTGAAGATGTCCAGTCACAGGTCGACGATGTGACTTCCTACTTCATCAACTATCAAGCAACTGATATGAGTGATAGTAAGATTAATTATCTTCTCTGAAAGGAGAGAAAACTTGATGTTCTAGGCGTTTTTCCTGATGATTATTACTATCAGAAAATCGAAGGCTGGTCTTAACTCTACTAAGAATCGCAAAGACGGGAGAAACAAGGGAAAACTGTTGTTTTGTCAGAGCAATAATTTTTCTTTTTGACAATACCAAAAGGTGTGAATAACAGCACTTTTTTAAATTGAGTACATTAAACAAATGATAGAACGAAAAAGTGAATTTTAGTTTCCTTAAATGTCATGACGCACACAATGAAACGTACCGGATAGTACAATTTGTTTGAAATTTATAAAAGACCTATAATTCTCTATATTCATCGGTAGTAAATGGCATATAATTAAGCAGAATGAATGATTAAATTGGAAGGGTGACTGAGTGAAACGGTAATCAGAGACAGTACTGTTTAATACTCTCGGTACAAACGATCAGATATGTGCGCCGATAAAAAGTGTTTGATGGCAGCGGCAGCGCAAACCTTCCCACTTGCCAGTTTCATCATATGAGAAAAGAAAATAGACATTCTGTTAATGGGAGAGAAAGTAAAAAATATTCCCTAGACTTTTATAAGTATGGAATAATTGTTAGGAACTGAATTTTGTCTGCTTTATCGCGTCCTAATCGTACACACCTTAGGTTGAATATAAATCCCATTGTGGCTGAACACATTTACAGAAGATGTTGACGTGGCTACACCGTCACTATTTTCACTACTCTACTTCAGCTGTCATGATCTGCCCAGCCATCCGTCGTAGCTTAGATAGGATAAGATTTTAACTAGCTTAAGGTCAGCATCGCTAAGCTAAAACCGTTCAGTCTTGTATCAATCAGTGACGATTGCGATAGCAACGTAAAAAATGAATATCGTACTTCGCAAATACAGGCGCTCGAGGCGTTTTTTCGATCCTAATAAACGCCAATTATTGCAGTTGGCGGCGAATGTGTCCAAAAACTGATTCTTTTTTTTTGTAGAAATGATTCTTTCAAGTACCATGTGCTATCTAATCATTCAAACCACATTCCATTTCACTGAGGATAATATATTCTGTTGAAAGTTGTGTAAAATGTGCTCACTTTACGGGACTAACTTTATGACAATCAAAGCCAGATATCCGAAAAAAATAACTTCAGATGTGTCATCTTCAATAGTTGTACATTCGACTTCCATGCAAACCAGTGTGATCGAGAATAATCAGCTAACTCGAACGTGAAAATATAATGTATAAAAAAAAATGAATTTTTCTAGTGAAAGGGATTCTTTCATCCGACTGAATAACTGAGAATGAGTGGCTGAATCGAGAAAAAAATGGTTCAAGAAAGATATTGTTCTCCTGACATAGAGCAAGTTTAGATCCATTAGATCGATTCAACTAGAGAACTCCTACGATTCGAAAAGATTGAAAAAGTAATTGGCAATCAGAAAAAAGTTAGAACACTCATAGAACGTTTACTACATCAAAAATACAAAAAAAGAAATAAAAGTCTCTTCGCAAGTTCTATAATCAATTTTAGAGATGTCGTTACTTTCAAACGATATGCTGAGAAAGAACGAATTTTGTCTCGTCTTGTTAAAGTTTTTCTAAGCTATCTTGTTTTGTTTCGCCAAAAAATTTAAAAAAACTCGTCTCGTATTGTGAAATTCCGTAAGACGAGACAGTTTCGCCCAGCTCCAATGCACATATAGCGAATGCGGTGCGTAATTTGTAAACAAAATTTTCTCATATGGAATATTATATCGTTCATTATCGTATGACTCAATATGGATATTTATTCAAATGCACAGAACAATGAAGCATGCATAATAAATAGCTGCTTGTTTTTCTTCCAATGAATCAAAGTTGTGATAATATTGTGTTTCAAACTGAACAATGATCTATTATTCCTGGTATCAAAACTAACAATAAAATAAGAATAAATATACACAAAAGAAATCACTGTTCTCTGAGAGATTTTCGTACAATTAAACGTTTTACATTCGAAATATGCCAAATTTGGTGTCATTTATTTTTGCATTCAGTGATGCACTTAAACTTAAACCTAATATAAGACGTGTATCGAGAGGATCAATGATACCATCGTCCCACAGGCGAGCACTTGAATAATATGGTGATCCTTCATACTCATATTTTGACAATATTGGAGATTTAATTGAATTTTCTTCTTCCGCTGTTAACTAGAAAAGGAAAAAAGAGACGATATAAGTATCATAAAATGATGAAGAAGAGATCAAGACAACGAACTTGTTTTCCTTCCCGCTTTCGTTGATCTGCAGTTATTGAAATCAAAACATTCGCGGCTTGTTCACCACCCATTACAGATATACGAGCATTTGGCCACATGTAGAGAAATCGAGGACTGAATTAACAGATAAATGAAAAGAGCTTACAGCTTCGTCAAGCAGCATGTTCATAACGCACCTGTAAGATCTTCCACACATTCCGTAATTTCCGGCTCCATAGGATCCGCCAATAATAACAGTGATTTTCGGCACTTGTGCACATGAAACTAAAACATAAAAGAGCAATATTATATAGAAAAAGATAGTGTTTTGCTGTCCACGCACCAGCTGTCACCATTTTCGCTCCATTTTTCGCTATTCCACCGGATTCTGCTTCTCTACCAACCATAAAACCTAAAAGAATATTTGAAGATAAAAAAACCATGATTTAACTTTTCTTTTACGTACCAGTTATATTTTGAAGAAATATTAACGGAATTTTTAATTTACAACATAATTCAATAAAATGTGTACCCTTGACGAAAACGAAATATTATTACTTTTAAGTAAAAGAACATATATAAAATTTACTTTTAAGGCTGATTCGGAAAACAAGACACCATTATTACCGATAATACCAACAGGGTAACCCATGATTCGAGCAAAACCTTAAATGACGATAGAAAATGATTTTTACTTGACAAATTCAAATATTTACGTGATTAAGCTAAGAGTAAAACACCAAATCAACTAGCTTACCTGTAACCAATGTTTCTCCATATAATTGTTTAAATTCATCAAATTCACTCCCATCAACAATTCGTGCTATTACCTAAAGGTTAGAAGACTAGTTTATTGTTGCACTGTGCTATTTACAGGAGTTTCTCTTACTTCTCTAACGTCATACGTTCGTTTTAAATTGTCACCAACAATTCCATACAATTCATCAGCTGCATATACCGGTTCGATAATGGGTTTCATAGTAACCTGAAATCAACAGTATTGAACCATTTCTTAGATTGAATGTTGGTTTAAACTTTATTACAGAAGAAACAATCAAATCGGACTGTGCCCATTGCATAACACTGGGAGAGAGGAAGAGACAAGGAAAAAAAACTAGATAAATAAGAAAAAAAGAACAAAAACAAAATAGTAAAATTTTACCAGATGAAAACAGTATAGAAGCAATATAGATTACAGAGATGAGGATGATTTTCTGTGGCGACTGCGTGAGTGAGGTATAACGAATTTTCATGTAAGAGAAGTAACATCAATTATGCCCCAAAGCGGTTGGACTCTCTAATGAAATCAACGATAGTCTTATAAATACTTTTACTTTTTTCAAATTCAATAGACAAGCCCCTAAAACCAAAGAGTAGAAAATGAAGAGAGAGAATAATTTGTGTGCACAAAATGAAATTAATAGTATTCATCAGTTCTTTCGAGCTTTATGGTATTTCCTGCAGAGGTACAATATTTTATTGTACAGAACATGATCAAATCACCTGTTGCTGTTTGGTATAATTCAAATTGGACACAACTCTTCTGGCTAAGTGTAATGCATGAGTGTCATCTAATGCATAATAATCTGTCACACCAGAACGTCTAAAAGAAACAAAAAGAAAAATTCTTTTTTGTTATGATAGTTCAGTGTATAGAACCTAGCCTACCGACAATGGAGATCCGCTCCGCCCAAATCTTCTACGGAAACCTCTTCACCTGTGGCTGCTTTGACTAGCGGCGGACCAGCTAAAAATATTGTACCTTGTCGACGAACAATTATTGATTGATCAGCCATCGCTGGTACTAAAAAAAGTAGAGTTTAGCACTAAAACCTTTTTTGTTGACACTATCAAAAGGAGTTTACGTATATAATAATATTTTGTGTCAAAAGTTTTAGGCAAAGTACTCACAGTTTTAAAACGTTTTCACACTTACCATAGGCTCCACCCGCTGTACAACTTCCTAGCACGACGGCAATCTAGACAATAAAATAAACTATCGTAATGTAATAAGATATAAATAAACAACGGGTAATAAACAATTTGTTACCTGCGTGATACCTTGAGAACTCAATGTTGCTTGATTATAAAATATTCGCCCAAAATGTTCTTTATCAGGAAATACATCAGCTTGACGAGGAAGATTAGCACCACCACTATCCACTAGAAACACAAATATAAATTCTTTTAAATGAGAGAAGATACTCTTACAAATAAAAAATCTGCCCGATTTTGATATTTTAACCCTTTATGCCCAGCAGTGGGAGAGAAATCGTCACACCGAAATTATGTTCGTCCCACGAGAATTTTGCTAAGAAACTAGCAGAAGTGACCTCTGAGTGGCGAAAAAACCGCGATATGCCAATTTTGCCATTTGAGGCAGTCCCGCACGAGAATTATGCTCAATCAAGAAGATATGATGGTATTATAGCAACATTTTTGTCTACGGGAATAATGGATTTACACGAGAATAATGCTGTTTTGTATGACAATTATAGTGCATATAGTGTACAAGAGATTATGCTCTCTTCACGAGAATTTTGTGTGTCTTCTTAAAAACTTTGTTGCCTAGGTCATGGGAACGATGCTTTACACGAGAATTATGCTCCTTACTGTGAGAATTATGCACGATCTACAAGACATTATGTTCTCTGCACAACAATTTATATCTCTTCTTAGCCACTTTCTTGTCTGGTACACGAGAATAATGCATTTGCATGATATGATTATGTCAAAAATCTCCGTAAACACAATATTCGTGTACATAGATAAAAAATGTACACGAATACAGACAATATTTTTCTTTTAAATTTTAAAACCAAAGCCTGAAATTGACTCACAATGTAAACGAATTGATCGAACATCGGATATTGATGATCGAACACGCACAGGCGGTCGCACGTGAATANACTTTCTTGTCTGGTACACGAGAATAATGCATTTGCATGATATGATTATGTCAAAAATCTCCGTAAACACAATATTCGTGTACATAGATAAAAAATGTACACGAATACAGACAATATTTTTCTTTTAAATTTTAAAACCAAAGCCTGAAATTGACTCACAATGTAAACGAATTGATCGAACATCGGATATTGATGATCGAACACGCACAGGCGGTCGCACGTGAATAGCACGCCAGAATCGAGCGCGACAAATACGAAACGCCCATTCATTGGATCCTCTTGCTGTGGCTTCGAAGCTTGTTTATTCAACTGATAAGTCACGATTTCGCCCGTGCTGGCACCTGATATTACTAATCGTGGATATTCAATCTCTTCAATATTGCTTTTTAGAGCTTTGTGATATGCTTCTGGACCATTGAACAACTGCTTATTCTCATACAAAACAGCATAATTCTCGTGTAAATACATTATTTCCGTGACGCAGAGGGGAAATATTTTACGTAGAGATACAAAAATCTCGTGAAGGTAGCATAATATCTTCTAGATTATTTGTATTATTCTCACACAAAACAGCATAATTCTCGTGCAAATACATTATTTCCGTGACCCACAAAGAAAATGTTTTTATGAAGAGATATTCTCATGGAGTATGGATGTTTCTCGCTGGAGTAGCATAATAGCGGTTTCTTCATTTCTCTCCCACTCCTCTTTATACCGATTGTCCCTTCCAGAGGACATCACCATAACTGCTACAAAAAAGGAATGCAGTACTAAATCAAATTTTTTTCCAGCGTAAGCTGACACTATATAAGCTAACGATTGCTAGTGACAAAAAGAAATTTCATCAAGTCTACACAAAGGTATACACGTTTCAAGTTTGATTTGCATGATCAATTGCTTGATGCAAAGGAATAAAACTCGACTTGTTTTTTAAATTAAATTTTGTTTTACAACCAGTTCAAGTTTCCAAGGCTTGAGCTTTTCTATAACGAAAAAGCGGTTGTAAAACAAAATTTATTTAGTAAAAAACTACCCTTTATGAAATACCATTACATATACCAGACGCACTTACCTAAGTAAATACACGGTAAATGATTCTCCTTTGCTATTTCTTGTGCTCGTACATGTTTTTTAACTGTAATAGGATAATAGGTACCGGCTTTGACTGTTGCATCATTCGCTACAATAACACATTCTCGACTGGAACAAAAACCAAACAAACACTTAAAAAAAGAGATACATGCTATTCAACACACTCACCCTGCCACTTGCCCAATTCCGGTAATAATTCCGGCGGCTGGTAAAGCCTCATCTTCGTACAGCTGATAACCAGCTAATTGTGAAAATTCCAAAAATGGAGAACTAAAAAAGAAAAGGTTTGATAAGAGAATAAAAGTCTTTTTGCTACTGCAGTCTACTATGAAACGGATAGATTAGCAAAAGTTAAAGTTATCTATAGCTATGATGTCTCTGATGTATAACCTAACACCTACCCATAATCAATTAATTTTTGTATTCTATCTCTGACAAGTAACTTCTTTTTAGACGTATGTCTTTGACGTGCCTTATCATCACCACCTAATCACACACACGTATAAAAGTCAGGATATATTAAGATTTTAGCTTTCTTTTCATTTACCAAGGACAACTTTTTCCACAGTTGTTTTCAATTTGTTAACAACTGTTTTCATTGATTCATAATTGGTCTGAAATAGAAAAAAATGATATTCGACATGGCACTAATCTTTTATATCTCATTCTGTCGAAAACATGCTCACAGAACAGACGATTTTAATATTTGGAGCAAAACTGTTGATTGAACAGCACATATTTTATTACGATCATTACTAGTGGTGTACTATCTAGTCACAAAAACAATTTTGAAAGTGCGCTTGTCTAATTATCTCAATCCAATGCAAATGTAGGTGTATTTTTCTCAGAAATCACACAGAAGTTTAAGAGAAAAGTAATCATTTTCATACTTTATAAATATCTGAGTTTGTATCACATGTGGTTTTTAATGTACAATAATTCTCATTAATCGAAGATGAATAACATCTTTGTGGGGCTTGTTTTAATCGAGTAACTCGACTTAGTTGACGAAGCAGCATATCAAAACGCATCTAAAAAGATGTACGGAAAAACACAGACGAAAACCAGTTATAATTCTTGACAGCATATCATAGTCAAAAAACGGGCAACTATTTGCCCTACAAAATTATTGAATTTATATGTTTAAAATCTTCATTTCACTTCCAGTTAAGTCACGATACGATTACACAAATGTTTATCAGAGCTGTTTTATCGAGAATAATCTTTAAGATAGAAAGACAAAAACTATTGCTTTTATAAGTGGAACTAGTACATTTTCCTTTGATAGGGAACTGTAAGGCTAACACAACTCTTTCTTACCTGTTTATTGTAAGAATGTATCTAAAAGCACCGCTACTAAACAACAGGTTGGTTCTCATCCTTTTAAAATCACACTTTGTATCGTCTTCTTTCTGCTTGATCAAACGCAGAAAACCAAAAACAAATCAAATTTTCTACATTTTCCTGTAACTGTTACATTCGGTTTTTTAATAATTCATTATAACAAAACTAGAACACATGAAAATACATTTTCAATATAAAAAAATGACAGGAAAACGATTTTATTTTCATGTTGTTTGTTCCAGTATTTTGTCTACGAATCAGCGACTGTCACTTCAACATCTACACCCGGTTCAATACTAATCGATGTTATTTGTTTAACAATTTCAGATTTTGAATGTAAATCAACAACACGTTTATGAATACGCATTTGAAAACGATCCCATGTCTTTGAACCTTCACCACATGGTGTTTTTCTTGTTGTTATTCGTAATGTTTTTGTTGGCATACGAACAGGACCTTTGACACGAATCTCTTCTTCTTTTGCTTTATGAATTAAATCGGCACACACTTTTTCTAACGATTTTACATTACGTGATGTTAAGGTTATACGAATTTTGAATTCTTGAGTTTCTTGTTGCTGAGAAACCTTGCCAGTGTCTTTTGTGGCAGCCATTTTCAGTTAGAGAATATTCGAAGCGAATGTGAAATCTAATACACAAACAAACAAACTCTAATAATTGTACTTTTCATACTCGATTAAACAAGAAAGAAAAATTTATTAGACAATAAATAGTTCGATGGTCATTAACAAGATGACTAGAATTGATGACCTGGATATTAAAAACAGATTTAAAATTTTGTGTTAATTCCCACTTTAAAAATCTCAAGATGTCCCAACTTTTTCTAATCTGAGGTCGAGTGACGCGCTTCTTAATGTGAAAAAACCAACGTGAACGATCACCGATTGAGGCCAGTTTTTCGACAATCATCCGATTGCTGGCATCCAATTTACTAGTACACGATACAAATGAGAGACCTAAGAAACAGTAGTTTTAAAAAAGTGCACACTACGACAATTAAATGTACTCTCTGCTTTCGACGAAAGAGACCTGAAAAATGTATCGTACACTTTGCTTCATTAAAAATAACTTTAAGGTAATCCATACAACCTTCAAAAATGCAAACAGCATGCAAAACTGTGTCTGCAAATACTGCTTAAATATAAATTCTACTAAGTTCAGTCGTTCAAGTTAAACAACACAGAATACGCTTTTACAAAAACCTTAAAAAAGCGTCACTCCAAATGTTTTATTCACGAAAAGTGAGAGTCATCAAAGGTTCCCGACCTGTAATAATAATGACTCAATTCAAAACGTCCACACCACATATCTTTCACTCAGCTTGATGAAGACACATAGTTGCTTAACTGTTAGCGTCAAAAAACCTAGAACTTAACATAGATTCCCTAAGTAATTTCAAAAGCTTCAGTAGTGAAATTAAGAGAAGATAAAATGTAGAAGTAAGTTTACAAATAAAAAAAAAGATGTTGTCCATTAATTACCATCGTATTATGGAGCTCTGAATGGTTTAAAATAGGCCACTGCTGAAGCGTCTCAGCTTTAACAGATCTATCTGTTTGGCAAAAAATGTACTAAAATAAACATCTTGTCTGAAAAATATTTCTTCTTTTCAAAAGAAGCAAGCCTTTTTTAAGGCGAAGTGTCTGAATAAATGAAGTGACAATGCAGTTGACGGCTCACAATTGCTTTAAGTTATTACTAGAGCTCAGAAAGTGGTGACACCACAATTAAAGATAGTTATTTGAAATCGAACTAAAGCAAGAACTTTAGAGTTCCGCTAAAGTACAGTGAGCTGCCTTCCTTTGTAATCGGCTTAGAGATTCCTTTCTCTGTAAATTCAGACGGATAAATTCTTAAAATTGATGAAAAGCGACATCAGTTTTTGCGTTTCTGTAAAAAATGATATGTGTTCGTTTAATCTCATGGTCTTTTTACTTTTTCCCGTTCTTGCTTTCGTTGTTACATTTAGTTGAAGTATCTTGAGTGTTCTTCTCTTCTTCAGCCATAATTTTTCCTCTTTTCTCTTCTACCATTCTATTTTGCTACCTCTACACATACGCGCAGACACTCACATACACAAGTTTACATCGTTCATTAACAAACAATTGACATAACCCAGCACAAGTAATGTCTGCATCGGTTTGACTACTGTGCCTCACACAAGGAATATTTGTACGTATAAATACTATTACTCTCTTTTTTTTTTGACGAATGGATACTGCACATCTATTATATTCTAAGAAATGTTCATTGTGTAACGTTTATTGAAAAGAATTAATTTTAATATAAATAATGATGATATACTCCGTTTTTGAGACTAAATCACAGATGCGCCGTATTGAAAAAAAGGTATTTTTTCGGATAAAGTACAATTAAGACTGTTTTTGCGATCTACAAGAGTTCTACGGACAACCTCGCAATAATCAAGAAAAATGTTTTTTTGGCAAATAAATAATATGTAGTAAAAATTACAATAGTTTTCGGCTATATGGCGGCGAACTGCTCATGTGGCGACAGTTCATTCAAACTTTGACAAAAAGCTTTTTGATTCTCCTAAAACATTTGAGTTATTGTGGCAACTATATACACATACAACATCGCTTTTTGTGTTTGGTGAACTTCAAAATATTGAGATAGCCACAAGATGTTTCAGTTATCAACGGATATAGAAATAGGACGATAATTGTTCAATCTATGTGAGATGATTATTACTTTTAATGAGTTATTTGCAAAAAAAATATATATATGTGACCAGCCTCCTCAATCGTATGAAAAGTTATTCAGATTTCTTGGTTTTCCAACGTATCTGATTTTGGATTTACCAGATGATGTTCGTTTTCTGTTTTAGGCTTTTCTATTGTTTTGGTTGTTTACTACTTATAAATGTGTTTATAACCAAGTTGTTGTGTTATGGTTGAAGCAACAACTGTTTATTCAAATGATATTGGAGGCGGGGCAAGACATGACAGTCAGCAGCAGCAAGATAACAAAATTAGTTTATCCGCGTATCATCCTGTTAGTAAAATTATAGAAAACACCTTTACAGTATCTACTGCTTAATACAGTTGTTGTGACACATATGTATTAATCATTAAATTCTGTTATTAATCGTTGCCATTAAACTATTCAAACTTTTACAACACTCTAGAGAATCATTTATTATTACTCTTTGTTTAATTTTGTTCTGTTTCTTTCTCATCTAGACAACAATGATGACCGAAATGCGATCGACTCCTTTGAATATTCCTCAACAATCGTTAGAATATTTCATTACGGACATGAGACAAACAATCGCAAATCAAGTTGGTCCTCAACAATGCATTGGTAAGTGTAATAGGGAACCGTTTGATATATGTATCTATTATTCTATTTCCTTTTATATCTACTGTTTCTCTTTTCTAGTGCTGAGTGCAATTGATCGTAAACGTAAATATCCAGACAATCCAACGAATAATGTCAATATAATAGAAAATATAACAGAAGAAAACGACTATAAACAAAAATATTTTGATTTATTAGGAAGATATGAAAATTTAAAAACAAAATATTCAATATTAACTAAAGAACACGATCTGTGCAAACGAACTGTTCGTAAGTATGCACACTTGGTTGATTGAGAGAGATAAGGATAGAACAGAAAGAAGCAAAGCATTATCAGTAACGTGAATGGAGTATTTGAAATACTCTTTCTACTATGAATACGAGATACAAATAAAAAGAATATTGACTGAAAGTTAGAAATTGCTGATTTAAATGAATTATGACTATCTTCATATCATACCTTCAAATGTTATTTTTTAGCCGTACCACCTCCAGAAACGGAACAATGGCTTCGCACTGTATTAGCCAAAGTCGAATTATTGAAAGAAGGTGGCGGCCCTACAGGCGTGAGCATTTTCTTCTATGTATCTAAGCGGTATGTGTTATGTTTTTCTTTTTTGTGCTAAGAAGATTCCATTATCACCTCATTCATTGCGATCTTGTGTACGCGATACACCATCAAATACGGCAAGACAAATTGTGCGTCGGTTATTCTCAAAAGAAGATTTGGCCACTATGTCAGCATCAAAAATAGACAATGAATTAATGAATGATATTATTGGTAAGCTGGAACATGCATTTGGCTATATGCCTATAAATGATGAAAAATGAACAGATCTGGCACTGTTTGTTTTTCGGCGTCGACGAAAACTGTAACAAGTCTCTCAGTTTAGCCTTTTTCTAACGTGCTGACACATTTTTGCTGCTTTATCTGTCGCTGGTTGTTTCTACTCGGTCTTATTTTGTTTGAGACATATATTTACTTATTGTTTTCCTCTATTTTTAGCTTTTGTTCGTTCCAAACATCCTTTACATCCAATAGAAACTTCAAAGATTAAGGCCGCTATATCAAATCTATGTGTTCAAGCACGACGTGAACTAAAAGGACCGTCTTCGTCACAAACACAACATGTTCAGAATAACGATAAAAATAATACGACGACGATAATTGACACATCAAATCAACAAAATAACAATAATAATAACAATACATCTTATTCTACATTGACAGATACTTCTACTACTACCGCGATCACAACAACTCCACAAACAGTGACTGTTAAATATGAATAACAGACTATTTCCTCCATTTTTTACTATTGTTGATGGTACTACTATAATTATTACCATCTAGCAGGTTTCTCTTTGTCAAATTTATTTAACCGGTGCGTGCGTGTGTATTTGTGGTGAGTGTATTATGTGCGTTGTTGTTTTTTCTTCTAGTCAGAGTGTTTGTTTATGTTTCAAAATCAGATCTTTTTGTTATTGCTGCTATTTGTGTGTGCTTTTTATATGAAATGAAAAGAAACACTTTGATAAATTTGTGGAATCTTACTGATGTCTTTTTGTAAATAAAAATGATAATCTTTGTTTACCAAAAAAATTGAAGTAAAAGCCACATGAATCCTGCTGTATGATATCAAATATCCGTTTGAAGTGGAATTATATAATTTTAAGGTTTAACAAACAATTCTGGTGATATATATTTTTTGTCAATTTTTACTATTAGCAAATTCTATAGATAACTTCGTTTGTATTCGTTGCATATAGGGAGATGGTAAGAGTTTAACAAAAATATATCAAATTCGAGCTTTGAAAAAAATTGTTGTCTAGTATATCAAAATGTGGAAAGAAACTGGATATCAGAGATGCACGGGAGACTCGCGGACGAAAAAATGTTCTTTGGTCGGTGGACGGGGCGGGGATATTTTCCGAACTGGTGAATCGAGCTCTCCCGCGGATTGAGACCAGTGCGAAGTTGTACCTCTACGAAGCGACTTTTTTTCGACTGCGGGTTTGATTATTGTTTAGCATCCAATCTAAAGCCAGAAACAGTAAATGATATTATCTTGATGTGCTCTGCAAAAAATTAACATTAAACGTTTAATTTATTTTTGTATGTAATACTCTAAGTGTTCTGGAATAGAACATGATCCTTGACGAGTAGGAAAGTCTAATAGTATCGCCATCGAAGAGGCCAAAAAAGTGTTGTACGAAACATTTCTAAAGTAGCGCTACGGAATTCCCCCGGAGTAAAAAATTTTCTTTTTGACAGAGACGCAAATAGATAAAAAATGGAAAAATGGATGTCGCGTGTATCTCAGTTGGATATATGTCGTTCCTTACGAGATATCTTTGACTTTTAATTGATTTTAACGCTGATTCTTGCATTAAATTTTATTTTCCAACGTTTCGGCTTCACGAAATGATAAAGAACTGATAGCAGTTCGCGTTCTTTTGAAAAGAACTGGTAAGTAGTTCCAGTTCAAAAGAACTGAACTGGAACTGTCCCACCCCTATTGTACATATTGTACAATAAAGTAGTGATCTAGTTAGTCGAAGTATAGACAGAGTTTGAATAGAATATCAATGTGTTTACTGATTGACTATGTACACGTTGTATAATACAGTTATCCGGTAAACACAGCACATCATTTGACAGGATATGATCATTAACTACTCATTTTTTTCATTAAACAGATGAAGCTAAACATTCACTAAAAAACTAGTGCAAATTAGATGGAAAGTGAACACAGTTACTGTGCTCAGAAATATTCTGAGATCTAAAGCATGTTTTTCTTAACCCTTTATGCCTGATTGTCCCATCTAGAGGACATCACTGCAACTGCTATAAAAAAGTAATGTAGTACTATGTAGCAAGGAGGAAGTCAGTCTTAGTAGCAAGTTCTAGGGCGTAAAGGGTTAAACTAGCTTAATTAGATTTTTTTCTCCGATTTAATCAATGATTTTAGCATAAAAAAATTTATTTTTCTTAACCGAGATCCTTTACCTGCTTTTTCTTGAAATTTTGTCAACCAGGATCAAAAGTATGCTTTTTTCGTGATCTTTTAAATTCAAGTCCATAGTGTTTAAGTTTCACATTTGTGATTATAAAACTAATAAAGATTATCTTCTGATTTTTTTTCTAAAACGTCTAAAGTATTGTTTCACAATATAATAATCTGATTATTGGTTCTATGATTTTTGTATTTCATAGTATATTTGTTAGAACTGACTTAATATTAACATGTCATGTTTTCAACGACTTTTTTCCTTTGATTAAAAATAAATGCCCATTATATATAATGTATAATAAAATGAAAAGGTCATGATCATTTATTGTTGTTTTGGAAATAGATTAAAAATATATGAGTGCGAATGAATAACACTTGTAAACACTGGAACGTAAGAGTCAGAGGTGTATTTTTTTGTTAATCGATGTAACAAGTTAAATAATCATTTAACACGGCAAAGATCATATTTCTTGTTCTATCTACAAATAACAGCTTATTTTTTAAACGAGAAAATAATTCAATGTCCAATTCTTATTATTTCTGCATATAGGCATATTACCCGACCGTTTTTGTCGACGACAGAGTCAAAAATCAATTTTCAATTTTTTTACCTTTGGCTATAAATCTTTATATGTATATACAATAGTTTTATTAATTTTTGCGATCGTTTATGAACTCGGTTCAAAAACTAATCTTTTTTGACTTTTTTAAACGAACCAACAAAACGAAAAAAGAAAGCGTACAAATAAAAATCTTGCATAGATCTTGATTTTATAAAGAAGAATTCGAGTTATGAAATGTAGTGTGTTGAGCAAAAGTGAAATAGCGAATTACTTATGAAACAATAGAAGATACAATTTACAATAATAGACGTGACGATGATTAAAATATATGTAACCATGATAAACGAAATAGTTTGAAAGTTTTTACGGGATACTCTTATGGGTAACCATCATGTATTTAGCCAACAGATGTCATATAAAATTGTGTTCTACAAAGTGTATTCTAATCTTAAAGACAGATTTTCTCACTTTCAATATCCTTTGTTTACAGTGTACTGATACATAATAATTATGGTGGTGGCAGCGGAGTTATTTGTTGCGTATCTGACGCGGATGAAAATGTTGTGTAAGGTGGAGGTAGAGATTGTGCAGGTGGATAATGGAGATTAATAACACTTGTTGGTAAAGAACTTGAATAATATCCTCCATTATAATATATTGCGTTTGGATTTCGCTGCTGCATGGCAAAGGCAGGATGAGTATGACGACGTTTACTTTGTTTTATTAAACATAGAATCATTATTATAAATGAAACTAATGTTATTATTCCAATGACTGTGCCAATAACAATACCAATGATTGCTGCGGTTGAATATGATCTCTCATTTGTAGCAGAATACGTAGGTTCATCATTTTTTTTCATTTGTTTTTAGTAAACTTTTGCAGATGTAAATGTGATGTAAATATAAGATATAATTATTGTACATATAAACTACTACCTCAAATATAAAATAATATGCAAATATCAATAGTAGATAAAAAAAATCATTTTTTTTTTTCTTTGACATTCGTAATAACGTGGACAGACAAACTACTTCCATTTTATTTTGGATTATAGAAATTGTCCAACAGTTTTTTTTTTATTTCTTTGAAAGAATATTAATATTTTTGCAAATATTTTATCTTTTTTGTATCAGAATTGGATATATATACAAAAAGAGAAAATCATAGACGAACAAAAATAAAGAACATTTTCTATTGAAACTAATAATGAGCATCTCGAGTATACATATCAATATAGTAGAGTAACGGAAATTGTTTTTCAATTGTTTAAACAAATGAAATGAAAAAGATACTAGCTGGTTTTCACATTCTATAAGAACAACCTTTTGGAGGAACAAAAAACCATTATGTTTTTGTCTTTTTGAAAGAAAAGAGAACTAATTTCAAGAACTTCTAAAATAATGATCTTTTTTCTTCTTATAGAATGAAATACATGATTACACTGAATTAGTTGAAATACCTGATTTGAATCACGAACAGTGGACGAAATTTGTTTTTGAGCAAACGGTTTTTAAAATAAAATGAGCATGGATATTTTTTCATTTTGATTAACGTACGTTAGCAAAGTTGTTTGACACTTATTTTGAAAATCAATGGGTTGATGAGTTTCCTTATTTGTTTGAATGAGCAGCGATTGGAACAACCTTCTACCAACAACAGTTTAGAAAGTTTGAATGGCAATATTAAACAACAGCATACTTTAAGAAACAGGTTGCCATTGTCAGTTTTTTCACAAACAATAGAAACAATGTTAGTAAAGTAGTCAAGCAGTTTGGTACAAAACGGATTTCAAACATTTTCAACGGATAAGCTTCCTAATGCATTAGAATAATAGAAATATATTGATAATTTTAACACATGTTCGATATTCCATTGGTATGGGAAGGATACATCTTTCCTTCATGTTCGCCACAAATGTCATCTGAAACACGTTAACAATATCATTCATATATTTCAAGATTTTTCCACTTGATTGTATTTGAAAAGACTCGTAACTACGACAATGATTTGTTCGTGTAAAAATATTTTTAAAAATATATATGTTTGTAAACATTCAGTCGGTATAATAATGCATTTTGACCATTACGTAGTGGCAAATTCTGCTAGTTTGAGGACATTTAAAAAATAGCTAAATAAGATTTATCTCATTGAAGAACCCTCGCATGAAAAGCGATTGATGTGTCCCTGATTTCGTTTTTTGATTTTGAAGTCTATTTTCTTTACTGGATAAAAAAACAAGAACATATCAAGCGATCCGTTGTATTACCCTACTCAAAACAATCGTTTTAATTAAGGTCATTCTTTTTTCTGTTTTCGTGATCATTTCATTCTAAAAATCGTACCCAAAACGTTATTTTTCCATAAACAGTAATAAGTCGGATCAAAATCAAAATGAAGTTCTAATCTAATCTTTTTTGATTTTGTAACAAATCGAAGAAAACCCTGTTACATGTAGGGTAAGCATAATACAAAATTGATCACATAATGAGAGAAAAAGGCCCAATGGAGAACAAAAAAAGTCAACAGTTTGTTAAATGTATCTGACTGGAAAAAAGTAGCGAAGAGACTGAATAACCACGTGAACTTAGTTGTCGGTGTACAGTGACGTCTAGCAGAGACAGGGAATAAGTAGCAGTAGGTTTTGTAGTAGTCATTAGCATGATTATAATAAAAACTGAACTTTTTCGTAAAGATATTCATATTGTGACACATCATGAGGAAAGCACTTAGTCTTGGAAATGAAGGTCAAAACTGCTCGATATGAAAGCTCGGACATCTTTTCGTGTACAATGATGTTTTAGTTCTGCTCTTATGTTTTTGAATAAACTAAAGTTACGAATATATTCATTGTTTTCTTCATTTTGTCTGTTGTATGTAATATGCTGACTCTTTTTGTTCTTCCTTTAACTGTATAGTCTGATGTACATTTAAACGACTATTTAGTTAACACATTTTTCACTTTTGTACGATCACAGAATATATAGTAATTATGTCTTTGAGAAATAATTCAAATTTATTCTACACAAATAATAGTGAAAACATTCTTGAACTCAATTGTTCATCGTATTCATTAGGCTTCAACGAGAAAATGTAAGTGGAAAATAATTAAGAAAAAACTTCTGTACACAATAACAGATCATCTAGTATTTTGTTTCTATAGTGAAAATAAATCGTTAAAACAAAGTACAACAACATCATTCTGTACAACAAATTCAAACGGCAATAATCATCATAAGACAAATACATTTCAACATCGATCTCAACTTCTCAACGATCAAACGAATAAATCACAAAAACGGTTTGCATAAACTAAAAACACTTATTTTTCTATGTTAAGCCCCGTTTACTTTCATTTAGATCTCCACAATCATTGTGTGTTGTACCTAAACAGGCACCTTATTCTAGAACACAAAAATCGTCTTCATCCAAAGCAATAGTAAGTGATAATATGCAGACAAAATCATCAAGCTTATTTCAGTTAGAAAAACAAAAATCAGCTGAACGTCTAAAATTACTTGATACATTAATGGAAAATGAAAGAAAAACATTACAACTTTATCAAGAGAAAATAGAATTAACATCAAAACTAATTCAGAATTAGAACGAATATATGAACAAATAGATACTTTTTGATATTGTACATTTTTTTATAATAAAGTTGATTGGTCCTAAATGAAATAAAAATATGAAAGATCTAATAATCTACAATGGCAAACAGTAATTATCTGTAGGATGCAAATAGTTTTTTTATTGAATCGCTCTTTTCTTTTGAATGAAATATGATATGAAGATGAACTTCACAGGGTTAGAGGATTCATCTAATTAAAAATCATCCACAATCTGAATCTCGACGCGTTTTACTATTTAATAATGAAGAACGATTTCGTTTTTGATCTAAAACATCAGAAAGAAAAATATTATTTTCCGAACAAGCTTAGTTTCCTTAATCATGTGATCAGTATAATGAGTTTGCTAAAATTAGCTAAATCAACAATCTGACTCAAAAATAAGTGAAGTGGCGGAGGTCAGAGGTGAGTGTGTAATCTTTCTGATAAAAGTTTCACATACGTTTTTCGGAACCATAGGTTTCTATGATTACTTTTTCATGATTATTATGTACATTGAATGCAGAGTCTATTGTAGAAAGAGAGATCCGTCGTTCCTCACCCTCGCTCTTCTACGTATGTCTCAATCGCGGATGCTCATTCTCTATGAATTTCTAGAACCACACAATAATTAACCTTCATACTTTGCTAGATAACCTACAGACACTGTAGAGCCTTTGGTGAGAATTTGAAGTCAAAATGATGCTCCTAGACTGAGTTGTGAATTTTGTTTTTGTAAAGGACCTCGAATTTTCAACAAAAGAAAAGCTAACCTCGCCCGTAAAATAGCTGTATTTCACTGACTACTAACAGCCATTCAACAAATTCATATCGTCGATAGAGTAGAATTGTGGTTACATTTTAGTAAAAAGAAAACGTTTCCACCTATCTTAGGTCAGAAGCTATTGATATACTACGGAAAAGAAAGAAATCACTTATATCTCACGAACCATCCAGTAAACGATGCCCAAACTTGTTGGATCATCAGCATTCGGTAAGAGTTATGGGGTAATAGTAAAACATGAAGACATCCACAGATAGCTGCACAGACAGCACACAGACATCCAGTTCTACGTCTGCAGAAGTGGATGTCTGCGTAGCTGATTTGGGTTGTCTGTGGATGCCTGTGTGCTGTCTGTGGGTTTGTGTAGGTGTCTGTAGGTGCCTGTGGGTGTCTTCATGTTTTACTATTACCAAGAGATATGGCCACACAAAATTAGCAGTCCCTAGCTATCATGTTCCTTGAGTTACCGTGGTGTCGCTACTTTTGCGGAGTACTGTAGGAATCTAACGTTGGTGATGTTATTTGACATATAACCGGAACCAGAAGTAAATTTGTTCATACATCTTTGTTTAACGAGCCAGTCAGTTGCGTGAATTAAGTAACCACAAGATCGTTGTATGCTGTCGTGTACTTCCTATTGATAATCATGAGTACATTAAGGACCGACCCTTCCCCTTCGTACGAAATTAAAGAACGGTTTATCGCCGAACCAGGATTTTATGAGCATGAATACATCGATGAGTTACGAAAACGTTGTGCTTCAATTATCTCTTAAGGACAGGGATATACGGTAACCGATTCCAGAATGAAGGAATAATATTAATTCGCAATAGAATCATTTTTGAGAGTTTGGATGACTTCAGTTTTGAAGAAGGCACTTATCCAACTCGGTTTTAAATGTTTTTTCATTTTTGAGTTTCAGTGCATACGATCAGGGGAGATTTCTCTTTCCTGGAATTTTTCTTCTTCTTGGATCAACGTTCTTGTCGACATAAAAAAAATTTTCATAATGTGCGCGAAAAAGACTTCCTCTTTGATTCTGGGAAACTTTCCTCCTAGAATTTTCCCACCCCTCTGTAAAAAACCAACGAAAGTTATATCGAGCTCGATCGAAATGAGAGCTCAGAACCATACAGAATTTCTCCTTTCTTCCTAGAATGATCGATTTTGTCGATTCAGCGATACTAATTCGTCCAAAAATTGAGCAAAGTTAACTTAAAGTAGTAAGTTAAATTGAGTTGCAAATTAACTGCATGTAATTCTATTAAGATCGTCACTTCTTTTAGCTCTTTTATCCTATAATGAAGATACGCGTTTATATTACTTAACATAAAATAATATTTGAGTTTGTTGATTTTCTAGATTAAATACTTAAATTGTACATATTTTAATTCATTTAATGCTTGATTTGCACATTTTTCTTAAGAGCGTGTGTTTGGGTAATGTAGCATGTACAAGCTAATTGATTGTAAGTTTATTTGGATGACTGATAAATACCATTAAACACACAGTTCACGCATAAAATCTCTTACAAATGAGTTAAATTAGTAATATATGTTGCGCTAAATAGAAGACCATTATCGGATATTAATTTTTTACTTGATGTTTCACTAGTGTTCCACTGTTCATCAAACTATTAATAGTTCTATCGAATTTATTTCAGTCTGACTGATATCTTTTGATGTGCGCTTTTATTATCAGTGCCACTAATGTGATTGTTGCTAATATTGTTCATGTATCTGTCAGTTCTAAATTTGAATTTATTTGTACAAGATCGATGAATACCAGTCGAAATGGAATTTTTACTTGACGAATTGATTTATTATTTATTGATAGGATGATGGTGTAAAAAGTGAATAAATATGTATGTGAAAAAAAATGACATGTCCCGATTGACGAGGGAAAAAAACTAGTTTTCCAGAAAACCGGCACTTCAAGAGTCATGGGCCCGAATCCTTTTAGGGTATTTACTACCTCAATGAGGTTTATCGATCCATGTACAAGTCACTGGAATCGGAAGGGGGCATCTCGAGAGGTTCCCTCATGAGGCACAAATTGAAAATTCTGATTATCCGTTTTTTTGCTCTGCTCGATGAGTTATCGGGATCACTAGTTGTCACATGATCACTGACTTCAAATGTTTGTGGTTTAATATGTTGTTTATCGTATTCATCATGTCCATAAAAACCTGTCAAAAATCGAACTTAACTAATCACAGTGTCTGTCTAGTGGCAATGTGTGATAAGTCTATTTCTTTTGCTTAATTTTTATGGTTAATGGTTTTTTGGGATAATTAGAGGTAGAAATCAAAAACAGTACTAAGACATTAAACCGAGTCTTGATGAATTCTTTTTATATTTATTATGGTATGTTTGGTTTCTTAGGGTATCTTGAAAAAGCTAAGAAAAAAGAATCCGTTCATTTAAAAAGCATTCGCTGAATGCGTCTTCAGAAAAGCGTCTACACAAATCTGTTCACAAAAAAAATATATCAGTTGAAAAAGTCGAATCAATTGATGCAACATTTTCATATGATCTTACGTAAAATGATTAGCATAACCGGAAATTTTCTCATTTGAATCTTATTCGTAGTGCAATCAGTTCTATTTTCTAATGACTTACCTTTTAGTCATTTTTAAACTATATATCTTGTGATGATAGTATAATAAAAATGCGATTCAACGGCGAATGGAACAAAGAATACATGACTAGGAGCTGAATCTAGATAAATAACTCAAAAAATTGGGTCGTTTTTGCTTGGGTAATCGATCACGTCAGTACTCTACTATAGAACTATCAAGAGTAGTCTCACATCTTTTTGTCTGATCGTCCCTACGCTTTACTCCTTTGTCGTCTATTTTGTTACTTAAAATAAAATATGACTTTTATCTATTTATGCGCTCTATTTTGCCGTTCGTTCTTAAAAGCTGAACACAATATACTAATTCTTAGTGTAAAGGATATTTTTCTGATATTTTTAATTAAATTTATCGACAATGCTTGAAACAATATTTACTTTGCACAAGAAAATAAAAATTAACTATCCCAGGCTGTTCTAGTACCAGCGATACCAGTTGAATAAGATGTAAATGATGTTGAGGCAGATGAAACAACTGCAGATGTTATGGGTGAAATGTTACGTCGTGCCGAAGATGATGATGAGGATGTATCACGTTTTGAGCGAGAATCATTGAATTGTTTTGGGAATGAATCGCGTTGTAAATAGGCATCTAATTGTTTTAAATGATCATAAAACGTTTTATCTAAATCGGGAGATTGTGCGCCAGGTATTAATTGCATAACATATTCATATGCTTGTGGTAACGTATAGTCACAATTGGACATAAGATATTGAATAGCAATAACAATGACAAATACTGAATAATCATAACCGTAAACTAACACTTTTTTCCCGTTTAATTTTGATTTCATAATAAATTTGTTTATTTCATCAAATAGATGATATAAATATTTTGCTGTTTTTTGACTTTCAAGATATTCTACAGTAAGTATACAACGGGAATGTTGTTGACCACATGTACATGGAAGTTTACTGCCAACCATTGACTTGCGTGCAATTTCATCTGGTCGCATATTTGATGCATTAATAAGATAGTCGATAGTCAATTTACATAGTTGACGTTCATTTTGAAGTGAGCGGAGTGTACCAATGAATATATCATCTGTGATAGCGACAATACTTGATGATGGAAAATTATGTTCGCCGATGTGAGAAGGTTGATGTTGCTGCTGATGAGAACGATGAAGAGTAAGTGGTATAAAGTTACGACAATTTTCATCTGTGATAACGATCGATGATGATGGTGATTTAGTTGCTGAACGAGAACGACGATTTGAATCGCGAAGGAATGGGTGTACAGGATCTGTTACAGAATAAGTTCCTACAAAAAAATCACATCGTAAAAGAAGATTCTTACACTTTTAACAAGAGCAACCGATCCTTTTCGACGATAGTTAATCTTAAAAATACTATTTTTATTCAATTTTGATTAGGTACTATTTAAGGTTTTAGGATTAAAAATTATCTAATTTTACCTAGTATTTCTGATGTCGTTTGAAAAACTAATGGTGCTTGTGATCCAGGTGATATTTCTCGATGTTTCCATTCACTCGTTGTTGTGGGTGATGTTGAAGCTAATGATTGTTTTCGTCGATTGCGTGTAAGTCTGTGTTGCTCTTGAGTATTTGTTGTTTTTGTTGATGAATGGGATGAACTTGAATTTGATTCTTTTATACCTATGCTTGTTGTACTATGACATTTAACAGGTGACGATATAATAGGACACGATGGATTCCGTCGAGATATTACCATTCCCACGGAATTTTGTGGATCCCAGTCGTCATTGGGTTTCGATGGTAATGAATTAGCAGTTATTGGGCGTAAAGTAGACGTAATTGTATCTGTATTTAAACGACGAACATCTCTGACATCATTATTTGTATCTAGAAACAGAAACACATAACTACTGGAAAGGACTAAATCATCTTAGAAAACATACCATTACTCGATGATAATGGTTGTTTGTGACGTTGTTGTTTATGATTCATTTTTATGCAAGAGTATGCCCTGTCTCGCTGATAACTATAAACAGCTGATAATGATGGATCACTTTCACTATCAGATGAAACATCTTGGACATTTAAATCTGAGGTAGAAGCACTTTGAATACGAACATTAACCGTGTTGGGATCAACAGCATGGTGATAGGAATTACTAGAAAGCAATATAGAAAACAATACCATATAGTATTAGCGATCTAACGAACAAAAAATACACCTACCTGTAAGTACGACGAATATTCATCATTTGAGCAAATAAATATATTCACAACAAATCCATCATAACTATGTGTTCTAAAATAGAAAATATAGCATCGTGTCTATAAATAATCAACAAATAGCAATCAGTGCTAAAACTTAGTCCGATTTTATTTTTGCGACAAACTACTATGTACACCATGCATTCGCTAAAGTCAAAATAACAACGTTTTCAATAATCATAGAATATAATACTTGGCTTTTTGTAAAAAACCCAAAAATTAAAATCGTCTTTAAATTCAAGAGGACGAAAAAACATCAAAACAAACTCCTGGTAAAAGCGTCGATTTGCTTAGTTGGACACTAACCAAAGCGTTTCGCTATTCTCGACAGTTGAGAAAACTTTGCAATGGACTTAATCAAACTGATAAATGATCTATGTTTAAGAATACAATTGAACCGAATAAGAGCATCTCCAATACGAAAAAAATCGATGCAATTGCTAGCGGGTGCATGCTGATTACCAAAACCTTGTAATCGAGAGGTTTTCGAACATGTTGAACCTATTGGTGATGTTAGTTTTCTTTGATTTTGACTTTTATAATGTGATTCTGAAAAACCTGGATTCTGAGTTGACACGTTTTGGGGATATCTTTATTGAAAGTTCAGCGATAAATGAAATTCTCTTTGAATACGCTCATTAGATAGCGTAAATTTTTCTCTATCTAAAATTGTAGTTTTGATGGAAAAGTATCTTGTTTTGAAGGATTTCTAGAAGATCTTTAATGAAAAACGAAGGCTTTTGAGAGTTTTTCTCTAGTAAACAGAGGTGGTACGTTGAATTTTCTTTGCTGTTCGCTTTGAACTTATTAATCATGTAGTCTAAACTTATGAGGGTGTCAAAGTCAGATGCAATTATTAAAAGGCTTTCTATTAGGTTTCTAGAAAACTCTAGGAATTCATCCATAGAAAAAAAAGAATTTAATCGAAAAATTAATGTTTTGCATACCTGGCAGATTAAACAATCATTTTGTTACAAATCTACTCAAACCCAAACTATTTATTATATCACTATTACTGATGGTGCTGATTTCTTGAAGATCACCATAACTTTTTATCGTTACATTTTCAAATGTCGAAACCACATGGAAACATAGGTTATTGACTACGCTGAGCATCGTGGTAACATTCTTTTTACCATAACTCTTCACATGCTATCGAATGTTGCTTGTAACACTTTGGTTTGATTCCACTGAAAAATCGAACTTTTCGATTCAACCTCAGTTGAACTTCGAGAACGAAACAAATGTTACCACGATGCTCAGCGTAGTCAATAACCTATGTTTCCATGTGGTTTCG